TATATATATATATAAAACAACATTTCATATTGTTCATTCCAAATAATTAAATAAATAAAAATCAAAATAATCTCTGATTATTTACATGTGGCTATTTTAGTCGCAAAATTTATAGAATACCCAAATAATCCTCATAATCTTTAGAATACGACTGAGAATATTAGAACTCAATTTTAAAACAATCGGGGGTTATTTTAACGCTTCAATAAACTCTAGAACAAAAACAACCTATAAATAGTAGAAACTATTTTGGCACTTTATGACTAAATAAATATATTCACAAAATTTGCAAGAAATTAAATATGAAAATTTGGAATGCAGAATGAAAATCACAAATCTATATATACAAAGAAATGGCCAGAAGCTATTATACGAGTCTCCATCCACCCCTAATGTGTCTAACAATATGAATACCACATCTTTAAGACAAACTGTGCAAGAGGGGATTCGAACCCCCGACTTGAGGGATCTTATACCGTGAACGCCAACAAACTTGCTGGGGCAAGCGGCGCGTGCGCGCGCACACACACACGGACACACGCACGCACGCGCGCGCACACAGATATATAATTCTTATGTGAAGTAAACAAAAACAAGAAAAAAATACAACATACATTTTCATGGTTAAGAAATTAAGAGTTTAAATTATATTTATATAACACCATTATTTATTCTCCATGTGGCATCAATTGTAGGGCTCATAACATAAAATTAAATATAGGCATCGACATCTCTTACATAATACATCTCCATCAGTCGCATTGAGTTGGTCATTGCTTTGTCAGACTTCAATTAATCTCAGCCACCCCACACTAAACATCAAAAATACCAATTATACAACTTTAGTAAATACTGAAAAAACAAAAACTGAAAATTTATTGCTAAAAAAACCAGGAATCAAATCATTAATACGTCAAAAAAAAAAAAAAAAACCAAAATAAAAAAATAAAAAACTGCATAAAAAATATTTAGATGGTTGATAAAATAAAGAGATTATTCACATACTAAAAGATAATAATATAATAAGACTTGAGTTTTTATTTATTTATTTTATGTGGCATTTCTATTTGATTAATAAGAAAACAAATAAGGGATAATTTCATACAAAGCACAAGAAACATTGCTATTTATAAATCAAGCACCTGGGCGATTTTTTGAACTATGAAACCGATGCATTCTAGCGTGCCACGATCAAACCATTGTGAATTTGTTCAAAATGAAAAAAATGGATTGAGTTTTTATTGTGACCTTTAATATTTGAGCGAGAATTTGAAAAGTGGATGAAAGAGGGTGCTTGATTCGTAAATAGTAATGTTTTGAGTGCCTTCCATGTAATCTCCCCCCCAACAAATAAATATTTGTTTTTTATAATCCAAATTATTTACTTTTGCAGTTGAACCATAAAATCATTTTAGCATTCAGAAATAAAAAAAAATGGTACAGATAGAGTACTTAGATGACATGGTTTGACGGTGCTTGTGAATGGACATCCAAGATTCATTATGCAATAAACCATTGACTAACTACATTGGATAGACATTTATAACATGAAAGATTTATATACATACCACTCAATTCTTGTGTATTTACATATCTAACCCCTAAACTTCAATTTGTACATAGATGACACCTTACATGTTCATGAAAAGATGTATTTCAATTTTAAAAAATTTAAATAATAGTAATTTTTGATGTCATATGAAAGATTAGGTGTTCTTAATGTATGAAGTAAAGTGTTTAACATGTGTAAACAATGTTAGGGGTGTCAAAAATTTACTTGACACGACAACTCAATCCGAACCCGACTCGAAAAATTTGAGTCTATGTTGACCTGAATAATTTTTGGGTTTGGTTCAGGTTAGGAATCCTAACCAGTTTTAATTTTTTCGGGTTGGGTTCGGATTAACCTGCCAACACAAAATTGACACGAGATTGGCTCAAAATTAACCTAATTTTGACCCGAATCGCTGTCATACCTTATGTTAATAGTGGCTGGGTTCAGGTCAATGGGTTTGAGACGGTTGGGTTTGGTGGGTTGGTTTTCTAACCCGTTTAATATTAAGGTCGGGTTCGAGTCAAACAATTCTGGGTAGAGTCGATTTCAGGTCAAATCTGAACCTGACCCGCGAACCCGACTTGACATCCTAGTAAATACATGGGAATAGGGTGAAATCTATGTAAATACCCCTTATAACATTAGCAACAGATCAAATTTGAATATCAAAGCTTCAGTCGTTTTTCAATATATATGTATATTGATATTGGTATATTGTTAATATCATCATTTCTTAATTGGCAAAGTGTTAACCTTAATGTCCTCACAGAAATATGTATAGATATATATTAATATTGATATATTGGCAATATCATCATTTCTTAAGTTGCCACGTGTCGCCTTAATATCCTCACTTCAACCACACTAATATATTTATAAACATTTTACTAAACAAAACTGGAATTCTTATGAATAGCAGTGTTTTAGCAAGAGCTCATATTCTCATAAGTATTTTACATTCTCATACCTTTCGATTGAGGCAGATTAATTAGTCCAATCCATCTCCAGCATGATTTATCACCTGTTCCTTCAGAATCTTGAGAGCCTCTGCAACACCATCCTAACAAAAAATGAAAATTACATGATCCGTAAGTCAAATCTTCAGCTTTAATCATTCATAAGATTGCTTGCTAATATAGAAAAGGGAAATTTACATGCATACCGCACAATTCTTAAATATTTACATATCTAACGGCTAAACTTTCATATTTACGTATATAACAGCTAAACTTTAATATTTACATGCGAAAGACTCAAATCTTTAATATCACAGAATACCATTTTTACTTACTTTTTAAATGCGAAGTACACCTTTTCATGCATAGGTTAGATTTGTAAATACATAAAAATTTGTTAGATTTGTTAGATTTGTAAATTACCATTTTTACTTACTTTTTAAATGCGAAGTACACATTTTCATGCATAGGTTTATGACAACAAAGAGTAAATATAAAATAGATTTGTAAATGTTTGTTAGATTTGTAAATACATAAAAATTGTGTTATGCATGAAAATTTTCCATTAAAAAAGGAGGGATTTACACACATACCACTCAATTCCTATGTATTTACATATCTAACATATAAATTTTACTTTTTACATTTATACCACCTCAAATTTTCATATCATGACAAAAATACCACCTTTCTTAAAAAAGGTGGCATGTATGTAAAATTTGAAGTTTACTTGTCAAATATGTAACTACATAGGAACTGAGTGGTATGTATGTAAATTTTCCTATAAAAAAACCTCAGCCGATAAAATTTCTGCAATCTTCAGTGCTTGCTCCTTCATTGTAGGAGATAAGGCCAAGTTTATAGCTTTAATTAACATATCTGCAGCTTTTTTTATGCTTTCAGCATCACTGTTTTCTGGAAGAAGATGAAGCCTCTCTAACGGCGCTGGTGAAACTCCCAACCAGCAGAGTCTCTCAGCCCAATAAAACTGATCTAGAATGAAAGGGCAGAGGATCTGACAGAAGCAGAGAAAATATAAGAAAATACAAGCTATAACTTCAAAAGATATGAAATTTCAGTAATATCTTTAATATTTTGGCAATAGTGTGATTTCGGGAACCCTTTGGATTTTAAAGTTGGGATATTTATATCGTACGCGATTCTTCCATATTTACATGTCTCACACCTAAAATTTCATATTTACACAAATAGCACTTTGGTGCTTTAAATCTATGCATGAAAATGTGTATTTGTATTCTAAAATGTGATAAAAGTACTATTTTTAACGTGATAATAAAGAATTGAGTGTTATATGTGTAATTGATAAAAGTGTTATTTTAAACTACTTCTAAGCGTACAAAAGATAAATTTGCCCTTAGGCTAGGCACCCATGTAACAGTTTATGACATCAAGTTATTATAAGTGTAAATATCAAACTTCAGTTGTTCGATATGTAAATACATAAGAATTGTGAGGTATGTACGTAAATTTTCCTATTTTATTTTGCATCGCTGTGATGCACTACTATTGCTTCTCCGAAGATAATTTGTTTGCTCTATTTACATTCACAAAAAATAGATTATGGATATTTCTTTTACAGAGAGTGAAAAAGAAGAGAGCCTAATTTGTAGTTTGTAGAAGATAACCTGGGAAACACCAGCATGAAGTGCTGCAGCAGATGCTCCACTGTGCCGATTTAAGACGACCAATAAATCATCTTGCTACACTGATGAAAGTGACAAAAAATATATAAAAGGGAAATTTACATCCATAGCATACAATTCTTATGTATTTGCATCTCACACCTACAAAACTTTCATATTTATATATATAGTACTTTGGCACTTCCATCTATGCATGGAAAAGTGTATTCTACTTCTTAAAAGTAGCAATGGTGCTATTTTTATTTGACTTTAAGGATTTGAGTGTTATATGTGTAAATATGAAAGTTTAGTTGTGGGATACGAAAATAAATGAGAAATGTGTGCTATGTATGCAAATGGCTCTATATAAAATTGCTTGGAAATAAGGCAGCACCTGCCCCCGTGATGAATTACAGCTGCACACCTTGGGAACAGCCACATGTATGGAACGGTACTGATTAATTTTAATCAAACAAAAATTCAATTAAAAAAAAACGGGTTAGCCCCAGAGAGGTAGAATAAAAGAACTTTATAATGCCCTGTAGGATAAAAGCATTTTGTAATGCCCTGTCTGAAGGAAAAAATGTGCTTACCCAGAAAAACAAAGGAGCCTACCACCAAAGAGAAATCTACAATCTTGCCCATAATTTAGATTAGATGGATTATCCGAACCTGATGAGGTGCCAATAAACAAATTTATGGCAGCATCTAAAGGCTCATATCCGGCAGAGAAAAGGACGAATCGGTAAAACGTGGTCTTTATAACTACTTCAAGAACTGAAAGAAATGCCTCAGGATTCCTAATGAAACCCATGCTGCAGAATTTATGAACGTGAGAAATGATATGTTGGGTGGATAACGCAGGCTGTATTTATGGCATATTAACAAATAAAAGAGAAATTTACATCCATACCACATAATTCTTATGCTTATGCATTTACATATCATTTACATATCTAACACCCAAAATTTGATGTTTACATTTATAACACCTTACTGTCATGAATCTATGCATGTAAAGGGGTATTTCAATTTTAAAAAGATAATGATTGTGGAATTTTTTATGTGATTAAGTTGTACGCATGTAAATATGAATGTTTAGGTGCTAGATACATAAATACATAAGAATCTTGTTCATTACCAGTATAGAAATGCCCGCTTTACTGCATGATATCGCAAATCATTGATTGTGCTAGTGTTTTACAAAAGATAGTGTGTTTTACATAAGTTTCTAATTAAGTTTCTAAGGGACATTTACATACATACCACCCAAATCCTATGTATTTACATATCTAACACCAAAACATCTCATATTTTTAACACCCAAATCATTCACATAACATCAATCTAAATCTTCCTTTAAGAATATAAATCGAAGGATGAAAATTTTATAAAAAAAAAGCTTCAAAGAATGTTTTATAGAGATAACTGGCATCTGAGGCCATTTGGTTGAAAATTTCTACAGATTCACCCTACATGTTTCTATTATTCTCAAATGCATCAGGTCAGATATTTGCGAAAGCAGACCCAACAAATTCTAATTTGTTAAGGCAATTTATTGTTCAGCTAGAGTCAATGTTATGTACACCTTCTTGTACATTTATGTACAGGTTTAAGTAAGTCTAGTCAAATCTTGTAATATTGAAAAGGACAACCCTGAAGCTATAAATACAACGGATAAAAAAACTGAAGGAGAATTCCTTCCTTTCTTTTCCTCTGTTAGAAAGGGAAACTATTTGACTCACTTCTCTCAACTCTCAGGTGTTTCAGCCGAGGTGGTACACCCACAAATACATTGAGATTTAGCAAGAAGAACCATTCTTAACAACTAATGACCAACAAAATAAAAAATGATGGGATATACTAGTAAATAAATTAAGAAAGTGATTCAATAAAAAGAACTAGCCAAAATGTCAGAAGAAATAAGTATTTTTGCATGACAAAGAGTTGAGAGCTTTCCTTCCAATAGAACTTAGTCCAATAAAAATGGGTAAGCATGAACTAGATTCATCCATAAGAAAACTTTGCAAACCAGTATGATTTGCGCATAGCGAATTTTTCTTGATTGAGAATCTAGGAAAAGTGGAGGCCAATATTTCCCTGCATTTATTGCAGGAAAAATGCCATTCCGGAGGAAGAAACCAAAATCCACACACATGAGCATTTGATGGCCAGTACCCTGTTATTTATATCATTTCAGGTCAAAATTATATTTAAGAAAAAAAGATAAAAAGAAAATATAAAATATATGTTGTAGAAAAAGCTCATAAACTTGATGGTTTAATGCAATTCAAAATAGAAGGAAGAAGAGAAATCAAGGATATTCTTTCATATCTTAAAAAAAACAAAAGGACCTCAATAATCTATAGGCCAGACAGATAAGAGCAATATAAAACTTTGCATAACAATATGACTAACGAGTTCTAATATAGTCAACAATGAAAACTTAAGGAATACCTTTATAAGATAGCTTTTCACAACTTAGATTTTTAGAAAGTTGCCATAACTCTATTGGCTAAATTTTCTAGCTACTATTCAAAACATTTTGGTGAAAAATCATTCTTTTACAATTAGATCTGTTAAAATATGTTAGCTATAAGAAAATTGCAATCCAATCTTTTAAAAAGATTTTTTTTTTAAATATAAAATCAATAACAACTTTCAAAAAATCTATTTTCTTCACAAAAACTCTTATTCTTACAAATAGTTATAGATGCCCCCAAATAAACCTTAATTTTGATAGCTTAAGAGCATAATTCCGATGATATTTAGAAAAATGATGTTTACATTCCTGATCGTGCATTTATTTTAACTCCATCTTTTCCCCAAAAAATTATTATAAAACATAAATTCATTAAAGCACAACGAAAAGCAAATGGAGCAAAAAAAAATTAGAACATTGGAAACCAAAGATCAGATAAAATATTCCTTACATTAAAGTTCATGTAATATACCTGGGCATTCAACAATCTCTTTACTGAACCCATACCTGATCATTAAAAGAAAAGCTCATAAATGTTTAGTAATATTTGTCCAGTTAAAAATAAAACAGTTCAAACTAGAAAATGCAATGAAATTGGTGGAATAAAATTTCCTTGTTCACTCCACTAGAATTTATATTTTTGCTCTCCTTGGCCACCCTCTTACTAGAATTTCAAATTGCAATTTTACAATTAAATTTCACTTTGATTAATTTGTACAAGTTTATCCCTCAAGGTTAATTTTGCAATCTGCCTAAGAGACTCCAAGATCACAGTGTAACAATGTAATATAATAGTGTGGTTCTTCCTTTGATTCCAACGGTCTTAAAAGACAAATAAAACATGCACAATTCAGTTCTGATATAAACATGTCCCAAACTATGGGTCACAAGTAATCAAATTTTAAAATCTTACAGTAGCAATGGTGATTTTACTCGCTTGTGCCAAATTGGTAAATTGGTTACAGGATCCTGAAGTTATTATCATGTATATCAGCACAGAAATGAATTATAAGTTTCTAAACATCATTAACAAAACTAGAAAATTTTAGTGAGTAGTGATTCCATCATGCTTAATCGCACCATAAAAGGAAGAGGGCTTAAATGTAAACAATCACTTCTCCAAGTCCCCCATTCTTCCGTGAAGAGTGGCCACATCCAGTGTTCAACATCATTCCAGCAGACCTGTTCACCAGATCTCAAAAATAAAAAGAAAGATTTACATATGTACCACTAAAATCCTATATATTTACATGAATATCACCTTCACTATGCTTGAAAAGGTGTATTTCATTTTTTAAATGTTAAATGATAGTATTTTTGATGTGGTATGAAAGACTTGGGTTGTATAAATATAAGAAGTAAAGCTTAAGTGTTAGATATGTAAATACGTAGGCCCTGGATGGGATGTATGTAAATGACCTAAATCAAAGACGAAGGAAGCTATTTAAATTAATTGAGCGAAAAAAGGTATGGCAAAGCTACCTCATTAGCAGAACCTTCGTGCAAATATTTGTATAAAAAAGGGAGCTCCTTTTTGAAACAGCGTTCAAAAGAAGAAGGAGCACTGAAAAAATAGAAAATAAATGTTATTTTTAAGGGGGTCCTAATAAAAATATTATACGGCATTTCATACATACCAAACAATTCTTATGTATTTACATATATAAAACCTAAACATTCATATTTACATGCACATCACTCAAATCTTTAACATCACATCAGAAATATCACAATCACCGTTTTTTTAAAAGTCAAATACACCTTTTCATACGTGGTGTTAAGTATCTGAGGGGTATGCATGTAAATATAATTGTTTGTGTTAGATATGTGAATACATAAGAATTGTGTGGTATGTATACAAATTTCCATTTCTTTAAATCACATAAAGAGACACATAAGCGGGATGTCAAATAACAATTTGAAAGAAACTAATCAGGAGTATAATGAATATAACATGATAAAATCATAACAACAATAACATTGTGATTTAAGCCAAAGGAATTTTTGATTCGTAATACCGTAATTCACTTATTCATAAATCAAAGAAAAATAAAATTAAGAGTGATTTCAGTACCTATAGGGAACAACATAAGGAGCAGCAACCACACAATCTATTTGATATAACTCAGCAATATTCCAGCCTTCCTGGAATAAAATGAATTAAGAAAAAATGTTTAGTAAACAAATTTAAAAAATCAGCAAATGAAGGCTTTAAAAATAGCATCACTACTTGCAGAACTTTTTTTTTTAATTTTACATCAGTACCAAGGCGAAAAAATTTATCGCAATGAAATCGCCATTTAAGCAAGGATCATCTCCAAAAACTTTTGCTACATTTATTAAACATTCATTTTTATGCTGTGTCTTAATCTTCGTCTTGTACATCGCAAAGGACATCAGCTCAGAATCACCTAGCTTATCAAATTGGCGGGCAGAAAGTACTGAAGGAGTTGTAACTGATAAAAAGGAAACATTTTTTGCTTCCAGATGATATATTATATCCTGTAAAATTACAGAAGAAAAAAAATAATTATGGGCTCCATAATCAGAATCAGGTTAATTAAAACGCAAGATCATTGTAGTCCACCTGATGCTCTGCATGGGTGATGAACACCACATGGTAGTGTTCCTGGTCGCTTGCAAGCGCAGAAGCAATAGCCTAACAAAACCATGAAATTAATTCTTTAAAAGGAATTTATATACATAACATTCAATCCATATGGCGGAACTCTACATCATCATTTTGTTTTTGGTTTTTGTTTTTTTTTTTTGGTTGACAAATGCAAGGTGACAACCATAAAATAGTTCTTCTCAATCCGAAGAAAATGGAAAAAAAAAACTAAAAGAAAACGATTTGTATGGTTTATCTCCATTTTTAGTCGAAACGCGAAGCAAATGAAATGGATTACCGCAAGGGGATAAACGTCGCCCTTAGTGCCGAAAGCCATGAACACGGCTCGAGGTCTAGGGTTTGTCCCCATTATTAGCACCTACAGAAGAACCACCGCATGTTATGCTGTTAGAGTATGCGGATTTTATAAGAACAAATTTGGAAGATACAATATACTGAACTAAATATGAATTTTCATTCCGTTCTTCTGCTTAACAGCGGGTAACCCCTTTTATTTTTTCTTCAAACAGGTACTAGGAAATCAATGTTAAGGGGATTTAAATAAATATCACAATAATTTTTATGTAATCTAATTTTTTTAAAAAATAAACAACAAAAAAATTTTTATACGACGAGAGCTCAATTCAAACTTTGTGATACTGTCAAAGTTCAATTCATTAAAATACATTCAAATTAAGTTTGAGCTTGGCCCGAACTTGAATCATTTTAAGTTACCGAGCTTTAAACCCTGGTTAACGAGCTCTAATTGAGCTGAGCTACTAATAACCTATCGATCACACTGTTCATTAGAAGCTCCATGATCGCAGAACTTCAACAGCATTTAAATCAAACATCTTCAATTCCGTTTCTCCGCCGCTATCCCGGATTCAGTAAATCCCCTCGGAATGCGGATTTAAGGGATTAAAAGGAGTTGAAATGCGCCGAAGGGAATGGAAGGAATGGAGAGAGAAGAGGTTTACCTTGCTCAATGGTTTGGGGAGTTAAGAAGAGCTTCGTACGCCGCGATCCCGTCGTTAACAGCTAACTACAGTCCAGCTGTAGCGATAGGGTTAGGGTTTTGAGCATTAGAGCGGGAATGAAGACGATAGCGCTCAGAGGAGAGTAAATAATTCATGACGAAAATTAAAAATAAAATTAGTAATGAATAAGTTTAATAATTATTAATTTATTTATTAAATGATTAATACTTAAATAATTAGTGAATATTAAAATGATGCTTAATAAATAATTAATTTTAAAAATTAAAGTAATGCTTATTTAATTTAATAGATAAATAAATGTTTATTAATATAATTAAAAATATTACACTTAAATTAGAATTAATAATTATATCATAGATGCTTAATATAATATTTAAATTTTTTACATGAATTATCAAATTATTCACATAATTTAATTGCATTTAACATTTATCATACCAAATTAATTTTAGGATTTAAATATTTAGAATAACTAAAACCAAATTTACAATTTTTATTAGAATGTGCTTTTATAATAATATTTATTGTCATTTACCAAAAATATATAATCAATAGGCACCAGTGGTCTAGTGGTAGAATAGTACCCTGCCACGGTACAGACCCGGGTTCGATTCCCGGCTGGTGCATTTAATAAATGGACCTTTTTTTCATTTATGAAATAAATGCTTAATTTACATTTTTAAATTATTATAGACAGATAATAAAAAAGAGGCTTATCTTAGGTCAAAATCATTCATGGGCTAATATTTTTGCAGGCGATTTAACATGTAATATTTAATTTAAAATAATTCATTAATCCACATTTTAAACATATTTTTCGATCAAAAATTTGAAAGATTAAACTTTAATTATTTTTTAATCTAAATTTTACATTTCTAATCATTTGATTAAAATTAAAAAAACTGACATATTAATTAAAAACTAAATTATTTCTCCAACATGTTAGCACACAACAAATCCAACTTCCACGCTACAACATGCATGAAAATCTCCATAATGCAACAAGCAAAGTAGCAAAAAGCTTGCAATTTTTATCATTTGACAGAAACTTCAGCTGATAAAGGCAGGCTGCAAATAACTCTAAGCTCGTCGGCAATGGCGTCGATGAACGAATGGGAATTCGCCGTCCCTGCGAGTGCGAGATGCTTCGGTGCTTCGGCTCGGTCGAAATAGAAAGCTCCTGAAACCAATTTCTCTTTGGGCTGCAATGCCAACCAGACAACTGTGTCTGCTCCCTCCTCACTTGTTCTAAGCTTCCCAGCTAACCTGCAGAAGAGTTTCTTTCAGTTGAAGGAGAGAAAGGGAGTTTCTTCATTTTAGTCCCGGATTTTATAAAAGTGTCAATTTAAGTAGTCCCACATTTTCATTTGGTAAAGGAGCGTCTTCAAAAGCGGCAAGTTTTGCCGCAACTGGCCTCCGCCATTCGACGGATGTGGCTTTTAAAGGGAATTTGATGAATAGGAACGCCCCTTCATCGCCTATTTAAGTCTATATTAGAAAAGTTTGGGGACTAAATTGGAAATCATGTAAGTTGCGGGACTAAAATGAACCTGGCAAAAAATGAGGGGACTATTTTGACACTTTTATCTTGGAGTTTGTTTATAGAAGAAGAGAAGCATACTTTTCGGAGAAGGTGGGCAGACTTTTAGCCACACCGGGTGTTTGAGCCCAACCTGGGTGCATCGTATAGAAACCGATCTCTTTTTCGCCGTAAATTTGAGACCATTTTTCTGTTAATGCAACCTGGAAGAAGAAGAGGAGGGTAAATTTGTGCGAGTTGGTTAAGTTGTCTATATTGTGAAATTAGTCCCCATACGGAATAAGTTTGAATGATTGTTTAATCGTTGAATCAACAAAAATATAAAATAAGATGTATGATTTGATTATGATATGTTATATGATAATGATTCTTACATAAATCAAACAAAGTCAACTAAATGCATATCAATTAATTAAAAAAGAATAAATAGTAGGAAGATTTACATACATGCCACTCAATTCCTATGTCTTTACATATCTAACATTTAAGTTTCAATTATCTATGCATGAAATTTAAAAGTTAAACCGATGATATTTTTGACATGACAGGGAAATTTTTTGGCTGGTATAAATAAAAGCAGTATAAGTTAGTTGTTAGATATGTATATAGATAGGAATTAGCAGGCATGCATGTAAATGCCCAGCTACAGTAACAGTAAGAGGCTATAAGGGATCACTTTTAGTTTTTGTTTTTGTTTTATTCATCTATTTACTTATAAGTGTAACATGCTTGGTCAATTGTAAAATGACGAGTTGTTTTTAGACAAATATTTGTAAAAACAAAGTTATTTCTTTTTTAAAACAAAAAATGAAAACATATAAAAAATGCACCAAAAAAAACCTATTTTTCTAATAAAAGCAAAATTAAAAAATAGATAAAAATAAAAGTGATTCAAAACAAGTCCTAAGTGAATGCATTTACTCCTTTAGATGTCCCCTTATAAACTAAGTGAAGATAAGAGAAGACATTAATGGAGAAGTTTTCATAAACTAATGGATGAAAGAAATATTTTTTCACTAAGGTGGTGATCTTCCAATAACAGCATTTGTATTCACTACAATTTTGAAGCTAATGAAGAGATCATAAATTTGCTCATGGCACACGTAAATACATCGGTTCAGTACTTAAAAAAAATCACCAAGATGCATAAATTATAAATATCAATGTTTTGGATGGTGTGTATGTAATTATCCCGAAATATTTTTCGCTCAATTTCCACTCAACCAATGACTCTCTTTCAATTCCTTTAAACCAGACCAAGAACAAAATGTGAGGAAAAAAAAATCAGTTTAAGGAAAACTTACAGGACCGATCATCCTCTACTGCACAATTTTTTTTTATTTTTTTTTTATTATTTTTTTTTAAGGAATGACCAGAGGCTATTATACGAGGCTCCAGCCACCTCTAATGTGCCTAACAATTCGAGTAACACCTCCTTAAGGCTAACTGTGTCAGAGGGGACTCAAACCCTCCTCCTTAAGGCTAACTGTGTCAGAGGGGACTCAAATCCTCAACCTGAGGGGTCTTATCAACCAACAGACCGAGGTACACGACACATCCTCTACCGTCCAGTTAAATATTCATAATAAGCGGCATTTACATACATAACACACAATTCTTAATTCTTATATATTTACGTATCTCATAACTAAACTTTAATATTTACACACATAACAATCAAATCTTTAATATCACATCAAAAATAATATTATTATCATTTTTTAAAAATGAATACACATTGTTCATGCATAGGTTTAAAGCAACAGAGTATTACATATGTAAATCTGAAAATTTAGGTGCGAGATATGTAACTGCATAAGACTAAGGATGGACTTGTATTTTGTTGAGATGATTAGGTGGATTTAACTCACTATCATTCTCAAACAAGTCCGTGGAGTTAAATTTACTTCAGTTCTAAATAGGATTGAATACAATAAATCCATTGCATATCTTTCGACTGGATTCGAGAATGTACTGTGATAATAGTTCTCACTTTAATTCAGGTTTTGAGACAGATTGTTTATCTACATCATAAGTTCTCACCTCTTAAGTTTTTCTGTAGTCAGTGAAAGGGGTGTGGAGATTACAGAACAAAGAAAACGATCCAATTACCTCAGAAGAATCCAACGATAGGAGATACTAGAAAAAAATCTCATATATGATTCTGTAAACCGACGATAGGAATGGCTTGTTTTTCTAAGTTTTGGAGCTAAAAGGTAGTTATTTATTGCAGATAGAGACAGAGGGTTTTTACTGGGCTCTGATAGTGTGTTAAACTGTAAGACAAACCAGAAGCATCTTCTATCGAGAGTGCAAATGTGTTATCTTATTACAAGATTTACAGTCATACCATGCGATTCCTATGTGTTGACATATCTAAAGCCTAAAATTCAATTTTAGATATACGCCACATTATCTATGCATGAAAATGTGTATTTTACTTTTTAGAAGTTAAAATGATGGAACTGTTTATGTGATATAGAAAAATTGGATAACATAAATGTAAAAAAAAGTAAGTTTAGGTTTTATATATGTAAATATGTAGGCACTGAGGGGTATGTATGTAGATGCCTGATTATTATGATCATCATCAAACAAGCCCAAAAAAAAGAAGATTTTCTTCATTACATTAAGCAAACTAATGCATCTCAAATAGACATTTAAGTTTTATTTCAAACCTGAATTCTCTTGTTCCGAGCATATTGCGTTACTCCATCAAAATTTGGCTCACTATACTGCAACAAACGAACAATGCCAAGTATTTCAAATAATAAGTTTAAAATCTAAATCTTCTTTGAAATAATATGCATGTTAATTATCATAGAAATGTATTCAGTGAAAGAAGAAACTGAGGTATTTTTTTATGACTGAAATGAAAAAAAAAATTGTAAAATTTATCTTTTAAATGACATGAAAACTAAGTCGCTTAAGATTATGCTAAGAAACTCACCCTAACACTGAGAAAGGAAAAAGAAAGCACCAAAGAGGAAGGTGACAATCTAACCATGCTCCTTTAGTTATTCGGAATATTTACATACATACCACTCACTCAATTCCAATATATTTACATATCTAACAGCTAAACTTTGATTTTTATATATATGCCACCTTACTTATGTAAAAAAAAGTGTATTTCATATTTTAAATTTTAAAATACAACAACAACAACAACAAGCCTTTAGCCCACTAAGTGGGGTAGGCTACATGAATCCTTTTTCTCATTTAATTCTAATACATTAAAATCGTTTTTTATACAATATGCTCAAGTTTTTCTAGGTATGTCTCTGCCTTCTTAACATAAGTCGAATCTAAAACATCTACTTTCCTAACCATATCTTCAGATGGTTGACGTTTATCATGACCAAACCATCTAAGATGACTCCCTCTAACTTAATCCGCCACAGAAGCAGTTGACGTTTATCATGACCAAACCATCTAAGATGACACCCTCTAACTTAATCCGCCACAGAAGCAACACCAACCCTATCACGGATATATTCATTTTATATTTTTTTTTAAGTGTAAAGCCACTCATCCACCTAAGCAATCTCATCTCGGCAAAACTTAACTTATTTTTATGCTTCTCTTTTAAAGGCCAACATTCTGTGCTATAGAGCATTGCAGGTCTCACCACCATCTTATAAAATTTTCCAATCAGTCTAAGAGGTACTTTCAATAGGCCTGAAGCATTCCTCTACTACAACCAACCAACTTGAATTCTACTAATAACATCCCCATCTATATCACCATCACTTTGAACAATAGACCTGAGATATTTAAAGAGTTCACACCTTTTAATGATTTGATCACCCATAGTTACAACTCTGCCACTAGAGCTACTACTACTAAAATTATAGCATGTATTAAGTTTTATTTCTACTCAAGCGAAAGCCTTTAAGCTCCAATGTAGACCTCCATAATTCAAGTTTTTCATAAGCTCTTTCTCTGGTTTTATCCACAAGAAGGATATCATCAGAGAAAAGGATACACCAAGGTACATCCTCCTGTAAATGTCCAGTAAAAATATGGGCTTAAAGTTGATCCCATATGTAATCAGACTGAAATAGAAAAATAATTGGTCAATCCTCCTCCTATTTGAACACAAGTAACAACTCTAGTATACATATCTTTAATGACTTGAATATAAGTCATATCAACACCTTTCCTCTCTAGAACTCTCCAAAGGATATCTCTTGGAACCCTATCGTAGGCCTTTTCTAAATAAAAAAAAAATCATACGTAGACTCTCCTTATTCTCTTTGTACTTCTCCATCAAACCTCTCAAAAAATGTATAGCTTCCATAGTAGACCTGCCGACATGAATCCAAACTGATTATGAGAAATCTTTGTAATACGTCTTAACCTATTGTAATATGTCTTAACCTATCGTCTTAAACTATATTCAATTACCCTCTCTTATAATTTTAAAGTATGAGACATCAAATTAACTCCTATATAATTTGCACACTCTTGTGCATCCTCTTTTGTATAAAAAATGGGACCAAAATACTCTTCCTCCACTCCTCCGACATTTTTTTTAATTTTTAAAATAATATTAAAGAGTATCGTAAGCCAAGAAGCTCCTATATCTTCTAAATATTTTCAAACTTCAATTGAGATGTCATCAGGTCTTATAGACTTTCCACCATTAGTTTTCTTTAAAATCTTCTTAACTTCTTTTTTACTATTATTATTAACGATATTAAGATCATTAAAGTCGATCTTATTTTCAAAAACTTCATTGAAAAATTTATCAAAATAACTCACCCACCTATTTAAAGTTAATTGTATTTTCAGAAACTTTATTGAAAAGTTTATTAAAATAACTCACCCAACAATTTTGAATATCATTTTGATTTTCAACTTTAATATATTTTACTTGAGTCAAATATTTTTTTCTTTTCTTTTTGTTTAGAACATATATTTTTCACCCTCTTTAGTATCTAATCTATCATAAAAATTACTAAAAGTGAAATTTTATATTTTTCCAAGTTCTCTAAGCTTTTACATTTAAACCAACTTTTATAACATAATTTCTTATGTTTTATCTTTTCTTGCACATTTTTTTTTCACCACCAACTATTTTTATTTATAAAAAATTTTTCTTTTGATTCTTCAAGTACATCTTTTGTCACTTGATTGATAGTGTTTATTGTTTTATCTCACATAAAATTTGGTTTTTCGCAAACATCCCAAACCTTGAAATTTTGAAATCTACTCATAAAAATAATTTTATATTTGTCTTTTAGGTGTCCCCATCTAATTCTGTGACAATGATTCTTAAATTTTTTTATTTTATAACTCTTCATCTTACAATTCAGAACTAATAATCGATGTTGAGTATTTAAATTCTCACTAGGAATGACCTTACAATTTTTACATTCGATGATCTCTTCTTCTATAAAAAAAATAATTAATTTGTGTTTTATTAGATCTATACTTTTAAATAATAATATGTTAATCTCTTTTCTTAAATAAATTATTAGCAATAACAAAATCATAAGCTTAAAAAATCTAATATGACTACCTTCTTCATTAATCACTCCAAAACCGTAGTTACCATGAATATTTCTAAAATCATCTACTACACTATGGACATGTCCATTTAAATCTCCTCCAATAAATTTTTTTTCTTCAAAAGATATCATTTGTATTAATTCTTCTAGATCATTCCAAAATTTTTCTTTGGAGTCTATATCTAAATCTACTTGAGGAACATAAGCACTTATAATATTAAAAATTATAGTATCAACAAGAATATTTAGGACTATAACTTTATCTCAAATTCTATTAATTTTTACAAAATAGTCTTTCAAAATATGCTCCCACACCTAGAGAAAGAAAACAACAGTCAAACAAAAACATGCATAAAAAAAACAAACCCTATGTTTCTCCCTTAAATAAAATTCTCCCATCGCATTTAAAACCTTCCTTTCCCACTTTCCCTCCAAACTTCTTTTAATCCCTCCTCCTTTAGTATGTAATTAAGCCTCTTATGGTCCCCACATGCTCCCTGCCTTTTTCTGCCGCCGCACAGTTTTTCTGCCGCCGCACAGTGCCGCCCCTTTGCTTCTTCACTCAAACAGGATCGGCCAGGCAAGTTGATGTTTTGGATTTCGATCGGTCCAGGGGCAGGCGTAATAGGGGAATTTACATACATACTATCAAATTTCTATGTATCGTCTAACACCTAAATCTTTTATATCACATCAAAAGCACCACTATTTTAATTTTTAAAAAGTGAAATACATATTTCCATGCAGTGGTGAGGTGACACATGTAAAAATGGAAATTTTGGAGTTAGATATGCAAATACGTAGGAATCATGTGGTATGTATAGAAATCTTCCATGAAAAAGATGGCAGCATGCTACTTTTTTGCACTTGTTATAAGAGTGTTTTATGCATGAAACATAAATACTCATCAAAATTATTTTTTTAATCAGTCTATTTGTGCCAAAAAAAAAAAAAAAATTGATCACTACATCTGAAAGCACCTGTAGATCCTTAGACAGAGGAGTTATGTACATTCCACCAGAAGAAACTGTAATAACTCGAGCATCAGGCGCAGCTTTCTCCAGCAACGGCATCATTAATTCAGTCATAGCGAAAGTTCCCGCTACATTAACCGCAAAATTTAGCTCCAATCTGTTAAAACAAAATAAAAGTACGGGCATTTACATACAAAGCACACAATTCTTATGCATTTACATATCTAACACAAACATTTATATTTACATGTATACCACTCAAATTTTAACATCACATAAAAAATATCACCAGTACTATCTTTTTAAAAGTGAAATACACCTTTTGACACACATTTTTATGACACCAAGGTGCTATAAGTGTAAATATCAGATATTGGGTTTCAGATATGTAAATGCATAAGAACTGTTTTGGTATGTATGTAAGTTTCCCTAAAATATAGAAAGATATACATACATACAACTCAATTCCTAAGGATTTACATATCTAACACCTAAACTTCAATTTTGCCATATATGCCACCTTATCAATGAATGAAGAGGTGTATTTCACTTTTAAAAGTTAAAATGATGGTATTTTTAATGTGATATGAAAGATTTAAACGGTATAAATGGAAAAAGTAGAGTTTATGCGTTAGATATGTAAATACATAAGAATTAAGTGGTATGTTTGTAAATTCCCCAATATAGAGCATTTGAGTAATCTGATAACATTCTTATGTTGGTCGAGTAACGTGTCAAAATAGACTCCTGACTATTTATAAGGGAGCACTTTAGCCCAAGAGTTTATAAAAGCATCAAATTAGTCCCTAAAATCTTTTAATATAAATTGAAACCGTCTCCATGGAGGACTATTTTAGCCCACACTAAAATAGTCTAGGCACTTTTATAGACTCTGGGACTAAAACGAATCCCTACAAAAAGTCGGACCATTTTGACACTTTTCCCTATGTTGCTCTTACAATACAACAAAGCTTGCGACACATTTTGATATGTAACTCACCCTTCTGCTGTGGTCACTCTGTTGTTCTCAAGTAGTCCAGCATTATTAACCTAACATCCAAAATTTTCCAATTAATTAATCTATTTATTTACGAATCAGGAAAAATATAATAGAACCAGGAAGCAATCCTAAGGAATTGCTGGGTGAAAATATAATTAATCAGTAAAACTTACTAAAACATGAATTGGTTTGTTCTCGGAAGAAAATCTGGATGCAAAAGATTTTATTTCTCTGATAGAAGAAAGATCACAGATCTGCAATAAAAAATCGGTTTTTTAGATAACTAAAGAAAGGTTATAGAAAATATTTGGTTCAGGTCATGAGTGATAGATCAAAATATATCTTACACTCATCTTAAAGCAAATTCAACGACTTTAAGACCCATCCTCGCAGAATTCTAGTCAATATACCCTGACCCATTTTTTTCTGAAGGCTTCTTTCTCTCTCTTTTTTTTGGGGGCCGTTTACATATCTAACTCTTAAAGTTTTCTTTTTACATTTATACCACACAGATCATTGATATCAATACCACCATTTTAACTTGAAAAAAAAAAGAGTGAAATCCATCTTTTCATGCACATGTATGGTGGTATGCATGTAAATATTAAAGTTCCAATGTCACGTATGTACATACATAAGAATTGAGCGGCATGTATGTTTATCTTCCCTTTTTTTTAAGTTTGTTATTTTAGCAGAAAAAGAAAAACTAAAATGCAAGAACAAGAAAACAAATTCATGACAACACCTCTAGATGTATATTTTTGTTTCCAGTGTTTGCTTGAATCTTTGAGAGGGCAGCTTCTCCCTTCTCTTTGTTCCGGCAGACAATGTACACAGTAGCACCACTGTAAATCAGATAGCGATGAAGCAAATGAAGAAATTCAAAATATTTAAGGGAATATTGTGTTATTATTACTAGTTGAACAGTCCAAATATATGAATGTAATGATAGTTTGCCATACCGCTGTAGTATTTGATGTTAGGAAAATTTACATAGCTAGCACACAATTCTTATGTATTTACTTATTTCACACCTAAACTTTCATGTTTACAAACACAGCATTTTGATGCTTTAAACCTGTTGAGAATTGAAACTTATTTAGAATCCTATTGGTAAAAAGAGAATATTTGATGAAGTATGGGGGGTTCATTTGCAAAATATTATAATACCCTATTTAAGCCCATATTTTGAATGTACAAAGTATATTTTCAACAACTATTTCAATTTAGTCTCAGAGCAAAACCTTAACCCAAGAACATCGCCAAAATCAACAAGACCTCCATTCGCCCGTGGGACACATTCGCCGCTGCATTTGCTGACTCCTATGGTGGCACGGGCTGTCATATCGTGACAGTGGTCATGATGTCGATCGCAGCAAGAATGTAGATCCTGAGTTTTTTCTCTACTTTGAGAATTGCGTGAGGCAGGCAACGATATCGAGGCCGCCGAGGATTTCAACTATGTAAGGATGCATCATCGATGATGGGCTACAAAGAAAGCCAGTTTCAGCTTGCTCTTCAAGCCTGTATGATGATCTGGAATGCAAGAAAGAAGAGAATTTTGCACGGATGAGGACTATACAGGTTATGACCCATTTGAACCCGACCTTTGATCAGAGGAGATTTGTCCTCCTAGCTCAGGCGACTATCCCTTCAATGAATGAGGTCATTGTTGTGATGATACAGGAGGAGAGTCACATGAAGCTATACTGAGTCGAGTGGACTTCCGAGTGAGTGATCAACTTTAGTTGCCTAGAGTTCATGATAGAAGTCCAGAGAGAGACTCACAAGTGCTACAACTGTGGTAAAGTTGGACATCTGAGCAAGACTTGTCCTAGTCTGCCTAAGAAGAGAGACAAGATGAAGGGTGTGGACAAGGTGGAGATCGTGGTCCTGGCCGTAGTGGTCAAAAAAGGGGAAAAGGGGGATACCAAGCGAATCTGATAGTAGCAGAGAAGGGAGAGACAAGTGTAGTTTTTATGAATAAAAATCATGACTGTCTGAAGTTGTTGAAAAAAAACAGAAAGCAGCAGCTGAAGGTGCTTCCAACGATCGTCATCAAATGGTAACATTACCACTTATACTCAATCTAACAGAGGTACTCGTAATACACATGCATTTGCCTCTATTTCTACCACAGAATCATCAGAGTGAATTGTAGATTCTGGTGCATCTCGACATGCGACAGGTACTGCTAAAGAGTTTTCTTTCTATACTCTCCCTACAATACCAGATAAAATATAGACTGATGACGGTATAGCACAGTTTATAGTTGGTAAGGGTACAATTAGGGGTATCAATTATATGACTTTGTCCAATATTTTATATATTCATTTTCCAGTAAACCTTTTATCGATTAGTGTTATTATTCTCTAACTAAAATGTATTGTTTCTTTTGATATTCTCAAGAATTTCTTCCAAAAGAAAGGGACGTGTCGAACACCTAGGATTGAAACGTGGCATAGTGGACTCTAATACTTGGACAAGGAGGGGATGAACTCAGTTTTGACATATATGGTAGCGAGTGCTTAAGCGGGAGAATCTTGGAGTTTGAAGAAAGTGTTACTGCTACATCACAGACTCATTAGACATTCTTATTTTAGTTTATTTAGTCGGTTGTATCCTTCTTCGCAAGAAAAGACATATAAACAAAAGTCGGTTCGTGATGCTTGTGAGTTTGGTAAGCTTACTAAGAGCTCATATATGAGTTATGCGAATAAAAGTTCTGGTATTTTTGACTTGATACATATATGTTTAGGGACCCTGTTCTACAAGTTCTATGAATGATTATCAATATTTTGTGATATTTATTTATCATCTTTCTTATGTACTTGATTATATTTCATGAAAAATAAGAGTAATGTGTTCGTTAGATTTAAATACTTTAACGAGACAATTCAAACTCAAGATGGTGCAGCAGTGAGGGCATTGGGATATGATAATGGGATAGAGTATATTAAAAGAGCATTTGGGAAATACTTATCAGCTCAAAAGATACATCAAACCACATATGCATATATACTGACAGAATGGAGTAGCGAAGAAGAAAAATAGACACCTTCTAGAGATAGTTCAAAGCATAATAATCATAATGAACGTCTCAAAGCACTTATAGGGGCAAGCAGTTTTGACAACTGCTCAATTGATCAATGGGATACCCTCAAGGGTGTTGAATTGGAAGTCTCATTGTCAGATGTCAAAAGGAGATAATAGCAAGATCCTCTCGTTGAATGTGTTTGGATGCATATGTTTTGTGAAGGATAATAAGTCATCGGTAGGGAAGTGGATCACAGAGCTGTGAAATATGTGTTTGTAGGTTATTCTGCTACCCAGAAAGAGTATGTATGTTGGAGCCCAATAAATAAGAAATTGTTTATGAGCATAGATGTGTCATTTAAAAATTTGAACCATACTACACCCAAGAGATGAACTCAGCCTTTGGTGACTCGTCAGATACAGGAGATATAAGGCAAGAGGGGTGAGTAGCAATGATGAGAGAATGGTACACTTGAGAGAGATGTTTTTTCATGTGATGTGGGATGAATCAGTTGAGCAACCGAACCCAGATGTAGTGGGATTCAGACTAAAGATGAGCTAAGGGTGTATATACGGAGAAAAAAGCAAAATGAGGGAATGGAGTCTACAGTGTCACTTTTGTCAACTAGTCCCTTGTTCTGATATTCCTCTACTCTTGAAACACCTACACCAACCACCTCCAACTCATAACACTCAGGTGATATGATTCCTCCTCCTCCTAACCCCCCAAACTTAAGGAGGATTAGTGACAGCAATGCGGGACATCCTCTCGATCATGTAGGTGAGAACATAACCTTGTTTCATATTCTGGATGCATTCATTGCTTCTGTAGAAATTGTCTTTGCTAAGAAGGATCCCAAATGAAAAGCGGCTATGCATGAGGAGCTTATGGCTCTCGATTAAAATCGAACATGGGAGATGGTACCACTATCAGTGGAAAAAAAAGTTATTAGGTACAAGTGGATCTTCACAGTGAAACAAACTTCATAAGGGAAGGTGGAGCAGTAAAAAACTCGACTGATGGTGAAAGGGTAAAGTAAGACATATGACATTCACTATAATGAAAGCTTTGCACTAGTAACAATCTTTACACCAAACACCTCCGACTCAAAACTCTCAGGTCATATGATTCCTCCTTCTCCCAACCTCCTAACCTTAAGGAGGATCTCTCGCAGCAATGCGGGACATTCTCTCGATCGTTTTAGGTGCGAACATAACTTTGTTTCATATTCCGGAAGCTTTCATTGCTTCTTTGGACATTGTATCTATCCCCAAGTGTTGGTGGATTGCTAAGAAGGATCCTAAATGAAAAATGATTATGCATGAAGAGCTTAGGGCTCTCGATAAGAATTTAACATGGGAGATAATACCACTATCAGCGAAAAAAAAGGTGTTAGGTGCTAGTGGATCTTCACATTGAAGCAAACTCCATAAGGGAAGATGGAGCAGAAAAAAACACGATTAATGGCGAGAAGGTACAGTTAGACATATGACATTCACTATAACGAAATATTTGCACTAATAGTAAAGATTAGCACAGTGAGAACACAAGTTTCTCTAGAAGTGTACGATGGATAAAAATTACACCAACTTGATGTAAATAATGCATTCCTTCATGGTGAGTTACTGGAGAAGATTTATATGGCGATACCACCAGGATTTGGTATAATCCAAAAAATTGGCAAAGTGTGTAGGCCCGTGGACTTCTCAAGTCTGGTTTAACAAGTTTAAAAAGGACATGGTGGGCATTGGATATCAGCAGAACAATGCAAATAATATGGTATTCTTTTGACAACATGAAAGTCACACCACAACATTTGTTGTACATGTTGATGACATCATTGTCACCGGTGATAATGAGACAAAATTTGTCCAACTAAAGGTAAAATTGGGCAATGAATTTGAGATGAAGAATCATTGATAACTCAGATACTTTCTCGGGATTGAAGTGACTTGTAAATTTGAGGGAGTGGTCTTGTCCCAGAGAAAGTATATATTAGATCTCCTCACAAAAACATACATGTTATGGTGCAAACATACAGTATCTCTAATTGACCAGAGGTAAAACTGAGTGCAGTGGCAGAAGAATCTATTGATTGTGAGAGGTACTAGATAGTGGTGGGTCGTCTGATCTATTTGTGTCACACTTGAGCCGACATCTCTTTTGCAATGAGCTTGGTGAGTCGCTGTATGCATGATCCAATGAATGGACATATGGATGCAGTGTACATATTTTAAGGCACCTGAAGAGTGCACCAGTGAAGGGGTTAGATCTTCAAGAAAAAATGGGCATGTAGACATTGAGGGCTTTTGTGATGCTGACTAGGCTAGTTGTGAAGATGACCAAAGATCCACCTTAGGATACTGCATTGTTCACTTGGAATAGCAAGAAATAGTTTGTAGTAGCGAGGTCAACAGCAGAGGCAGAGTACATGACCATGACCTTAGGAGTAGCCGAGATGATGTGGCTGAGAGCCTTGTTTGTAGAGCTCAAGGTGGATCAAGGAACTTAAATGAAGTTGTGGTGTGAAAACAAGTCAGCAATCAACATTGACAATAACCCAGTGCAACATGATAAAACCAAACATGTGGAGATTAATAGATTATTCATGAAGGAGAAGCTAAATAACGAGCTACTGGAGCTAAGTCAAGTAGACACAGGAGAGCAAGTGGTTGATTGTCTCACTAAAGGACTTAGTTCATTAGATTTTCCTAGGTTATGTGACAAGATAGGCTTGGTGAATATCTTTTGCCCATCTTGTGGGGGTTCAAGAATTGAACCTTATTTAAGGTCTTGTTAGTAAAAAGGGAATATTGAAGAAGTCTAGGGATTTCTTTGTAAAATATTGTAATACCCGATTTAAGTCCATCTTATCAATGTACAAAGTAGGTTTTTAACAATTATTTCAATTAAACCTATGCATAAAAATGTATATTTCATTTTTAAAAAGTGGTACTAGTACTATTTTTATTTGATATTAAAGATTTAAGTGTTGTGTGTAAATATGAAAAATTAGGTGTGATATATGTAAATACATAAGAAGTGTGCTATGTATGTAAATGCCCCTTTTTAAAAACATTCAAATTTGCCTTAATTACTAGAATAACTCTCCCAGAATCCATTCTAATGTAGTAAGCAAAATTAAAATACATGCTAGAGACTAAAAGGTGGAAATGAGCCATTTGATCATCCCACTAGCATGAATCTCGTTATGTAATGGCTTGTAATTAAGGTCTCATAGAAAAATGACTTATGGATATACTTTTGATTTGTTTCATAAAGTTATTTTGAAAATCTCAACAACAACGACAAATCTTCATCCCACTAAGTAGGGTCAGCTACATGAATCCTTTTTTTCTCCATCCTTTTTCTCCATTGCATCCTATTGAGTGTCATAATTTCATTTAATTCTAATAAATTAAGATCATTTTTTTATACAATATGCTAATATCTTTTTAGGTCTACCTCTGCCTTTCTTAACATAAGTCGAATCTAAAACATCTACTCTCCTAATCTGATCATCAGATGGTCGACGTTTAATTTGACCAAACCATTTAAGATGACTATCTCTAATCTTGTTTGTCACTGGAGCTACACCAACACTATCTTGTATATATTCCTTTCGCCTTTCATCTCTAAGTGTCATCCCGCTCATCCACCTAAGCATTCTCATGTCAACAACACCAAAGTTTGTTTAATGTTTCTCTTTAAAAGCCAATATTTTGCACCATAGAGCATTGCAGGTCTCACCACCATCTTATAAAATTTTTCTTTCAGCCTAAGCAGTACTTTTCTATCACAGAACAGACCCGATGCATTCCTCCTCTTCAACCAACCAACTCAAATTCTACTAATAACGTCCCCATTTATATCGCCATCATTTTGAACAATAGACCCGAGATATCTAAAGCGTTCACATATTTTAATGATTTTGATCGCCATTGTTACAACTCCGCCACTAGAGCAACTACAAATAAAATTATTTTCCATGTATTCACTTTTAGATATTCTCAAACGAAGGCCTTTAGACCTGAAGTTAGACCTCCATAATTCAAGTATTTCTTGGACTCTTTCTCTAATTTTATTTACAAGAAGGATATCATCAGCAAAAAGCATACACTAAGGTACACAAGGACGGACCTAGGTAGGGTCCAAGGGGCACTTCCCCACTGCCTCTCAAGTTTAGATTTTTAACTCATATGGAAAGGAAATTTGGTCATTTGCCCCTCCTGAAATTTAAGTTTTGTCTCTCCTGAAATATTACTTTGCTCTTTTGTTGCCCTGACCCTTTTCATGTTGGGTTTGAGGGGCAGTTTAACTCCACTAAAAAAAGAGGTTGGTTCCGCCCCTGAATGTACATCCTCATGTAAATGTCCAGTAAAAGCACCCATAACTAAAGCAAAAAGATATGGGCTTAAAGTCAATCCCTGATGTAATCCAACTGAAATAGAAAAATACTTAGTCAATCCTCTTTTTCGAACACAAATGACAGCTCTAGTATACATATCTTTAATGTCTTGAATAAAAATCATATCGATGTCTTTATTCTCTAAAACTCTCCAAAGGACTTCTCTTGGAACTCTATCGTAAGCTTTTTCTAAATCAATAAAAAATATATGTAGATCCTCCTTATTCTCTTTGCACTTCTCCATCAAACCTCTTAATAAATGTATAACTTCCATAGTAGGCCTGCCCGGCATAAATCCAAACTGATTATGAGAAATCATTTTTTCTAAATTTTAAAATTTTGTGGTATTATTTATTGTCTTCCCTTGGACTCTATCGTTATATTTGATATCTAAGAGTTTATTATCGTAAAAGTCTAATAGAAGTCGTAACACATTTTAGCCATCAATTCAGCAAACCAATATAAAATTTTGAAACATTTACAGGCATTTACATACATACCACCCAATTCTTATGTTTTACATATCTAACAGCTAAACGTTAATTTTTTTACATTTACACCACCCAACTCTTTTCATATGACATTAAAAAAACCGCTATTTTAACTTTTAAAAAGTGAAATACATATTTTGATGTGTAGATAAGATGACATAAATGTGAAAATTAAAGGGTAGGTGTTAGATATGTAAATACATCAAAAATTGAGAGGTATGCATGTAAACCTTCCTAAATTTTTTTATTTGGATTGTATTTTTTTCTTTATTTTGTTTTATTTTCTCTCCAATATTTGAATTAGGTCTAGCCTAATTCATAACAAATCTAGGGTTAGTTAACTCATCTAAGGTTAAAATTCAATAAAAACAATTGACTGTTGTAAATTAATATAAACGCAAGGATTAAAGTGGCATTATAACAATATGTTATATTATATGGTCATACAACATTATTAAATTCATTAGTTCAGAAAGTTCACCGGCAAACAAAATTCAATCAATTACTCCAGAAAATAGAATTTGAAATGTCATCTCATCTGACAAAAATAATAAATTAAATTTTAAAAAAATAAAATCATTACCGTGAAGCAAGACCCTCAGCTGTAGCAAAACCAATGCCGGAATTTCCTCCTGTCACCAAACAATTCTTCCCTTCCATTTGAACCCCCATATCCTCCGCCTTGAACTTCTTCGAATGTTCTCTGAATCAAAATATTGCAGAATCAGCACAGTATTCTGATAAGATTTAATCTCTCCGAAGAACAAATTTTCTCCTCAATTATTACAATCTACGATAATTTGAGTGAGGGAAAGGGGAAAGAGAGTAGAAATTACTGAAAACCAGATTTGGTGAATTGGGTGAATCCGTATACCCCGAAAGCAACTTGCCTCCATGCCTGCAAGGTTCGAATTTCTTGGGTAATAAGATGACAGAGTTTTTAGAAGCCCTAGAGATTGAAGATTTATAAGAAGGGAAAGGCCGATTGAGCAATGGCTTACCCTTTGAAGAAACATGATTCCGGTGAGCGCGATTGCTTCCTTCCGCTTTGCTCGTCAGTCTGATGGCTACTTGACTGGAGATGAGAGAGGAAATTTGGGGCATTTTGCATGCATGACACGATTCTTATTTATTTGCATATCCAACACCTAGCTTTACATATTTGCAAGCGTCTAATATATCATATATTATATATCATTTTTTTTATTTATAAAAGGTAAAATATATATTTATTTTATACAAACCATACACAAATTTATGATATCAGTGTTATGAATGTAAAAAACGAAAGTTTGGGCGTCTTGATATGCAGATCATAGGAATTGTGCGGCATGCATGTGAATTTTGAGAAAATTTTGCGTATGTGAGCTGTGTGCGGACGGACGCGATGCACCAGCGACGTTTTTTCGTCAGTGTATCGTATCCGTCATCCGTACGTAGCTCGCGTACAGACGATGTGCACAAATTTTTTTTCGAGTTTTTTTCGGTATTATTTGTTTCAACATATTGAATTAATTTTATATTGTTTTTTAGTGCCATCGAGCTTTAAATTATGTTGATTCTGAATATTTTCTTAAAAATTATTGAATCAATTTATGTAATTCGCATGTATATTCATTTATTTTTTTTTCTTTAAGAAAAAGTAATTATTTTATTGTACATCAAGAATATGTCAACAAAAATCCTGAGAAGATTCAACAGCCACGATGGAATGAAGTGTAATAAAGGGGAACTCACTAAAAATTGACCAAAAGGTCTCACTTAACCAATTGGATATGGTAATCTGAGCCAAAGACGAAGGCTAACCGAGCCAGAAGAATGATGAAAAGAACAATCTGACTTCAAGCCGCTCAGACTAGAGCAAAACAGGTAAACACCCAAGTTGAATGTCCAACTGAATGCATCTATCAAGATCTCGACAGATCCGACCCAAAGAAAAGATTCGTCTCCTTGCATCACCAGTTGTCCTTGTGGTTCCTCATCAGAGACCAATAATTGGTAATACAATAGAGCTTCACAATCATCTCAAAGGGTTCTCTTATTAAAGAATAAGCTATCTATCAAGTTACTTTAATTCACCATCTGCACAATAACCTAGTTAATTATGTCGATGGGAACAACTCATATAGAGATCAAGGGTCGATAATCAGACTAAATCAACTAACAGGCAAAGTTTAGTTAAATGAGTCAATTCTGCAGACTCGAAGCTAATCAACTTCGGTCATCCGATTAAAGAATAAGCTATCTATCAAGTTACTTTAATTCTCCATCTGCACAATAACCTAGTTAATTATGTTGATGGGAACAACTCATATAGAGATCAAGGGCCAATAATCAGACTAAATCAACTAACAGACAAAGTTTAGTTAAATGAGTCAATTTTGCAGACTCGAAGCTAATCAACTTCGGTCATCCGGCAGCACCAACTCAACCTAGCCGAACGTTAAAGCAGGGGCAAAACATTTTATTCTATCCTTATTCAAACCTGCATTTAGACCTAATTTAAAGTTACTTCAATCATGAATTGAATCTCTTTATATTTTGTCACTCTTATAAATATTTGCAATCCCATAGAGGTCTTCATTTGGTCAAATCATTTGCGAATAACTTTTCTCCTTAAGACATTCTAGCCCTATCATGTAAACTATTTTCCTCCTTCACACATCTTGTTATCATCAATTCCTTCATTTTAATGCATTTCCTTACGGGTTCTATCAAATATGAGCGCTTATTCTATCATGATACCAGACACAAATTTGTGTCTAGAGTCCACTGGGCACTTGCCACGTGACAAGTGAACTAATACACGGGTTGGTAAGTTTTTTAGAGGGGCGTGGCCTATGACCACTGGACTCCAGACGTAAATTTTTCGTCTTTTGTCCTAATAGAATAATTTTTCATTAAATACATGCTCTTTTTCGCACACCATCGATCTCATCGCCAACCCTAATTGCTTCTCGTCTAATGGTGGTTGGAGTCCTGATAATCGAATTGGTGGTTGAAAATATAAAAGAATTATTGGTTAAAGATATGGAGGTGTGATTTGCAGTTTATGGTGAAAAATTAGGGCCTTTAAAGAGATGTTGTGGTGGGATAACTAAAATAAGCTCTATTTAGGCCGGCTTATTAGTTTATCTTTTCAAGTAATGGGTTTAATAAAACATAAATGATGCATAAAATAAAATGAAAAGTAGCATTCAAGATTGTGAAAATCAAACTAGACAACGAACATGAAGAAACAAAGGTTTTCAGTTCAATGTTTGAACCTAAAGACACAACAAATATTTAAATTATTTTAAAATAACTTAAATAAGAAAATACTAATATTTTAATATAATTTTATTGATTTAACAAAAAATTATTTTAAATTTAAAACTATTTTTTTAATATTTTGAACAATATTCTATATAAGGAGCACATATTTCATAAAAATTAATATCCTAAAATTTTTAACTAAAATTTATGTGTTTAATTTAAGCTCGTTTAAACTTTATTTATTTATTTATTTATTATTCCTATTTTTCTTCTTATATATTTACATATCCCACATCAAAATTTAATATTTACAAACTCAAAATTTTAATCTCATTATAAAAAAGCATTATCATCATTATTTTTAAATCGAACGTAGCTTTTTCTGCGATAGCTTCAAAGCACCAAATGCTATGTATGTAAATATGAAAGTTTAGGTGTGAGATGTAAATACATAAAAATTGTGTGCCACACATGTAAATTTCCCTGAAAGCAAATACAATTAGGTCTATGGCTCGTTGTTCGCGAACAACTCGTGTTCGGCTCGTTCGCTAAGTTAGCGAGCCGAACACGAACAACACGAATAAAT